TATATATATCAGGAGTAGATAAAGGGGGGGGGTCCCTTTATCTACTCCTGATATATATATGTATATTTAACAGTATAAAGATGAGCTTGTATCTTGTGCATGCATCTACAGTTCTACACATGGTGAGTGATCCCACGGGCATCAGCTGCACAGTTACGCGGATATCAGATAATCGGCGACGAAGTTATACGCACCGTAGCATGCGTATAATATAATAAAGAATGCATTCTCACGAGCCTCGCGATGCAAAGACGGATTACATATCCGGAAAACAGAAACTCAGACTCACGTCGGCTCTCGTTGCAATACGGCGGCAACTCGTCAGCATAATTACCGCAGTTGTCGAAGAAATCGCAGACGAGTGTGGCGTTGATGTAGCGCTGGTTGCCGCAGTCAAACTGCTTGTTCACACCTAGAACACATATATAAACTAGAGCACTCGGAGAGCACAGACCTCCGCCAAGGCAGCTGAATTCTCTCAATGTGAAATTTTTTATTAATTAATTGGATCCGGATTAGTGCGAGCGTGCAGGTGGGGGAGGACTGTGGTTGCCCCTTAGCCTGTGGTTGCGTGTTTGTAAGTCTACAGCCAGCGCACCTAGCGGAAGTGAACTGAAACGTGCATGTTAACAAACCCACAAACACACAAAACAACACTCAAACACACGCCGGTGAAAACATAACCCCCGCCAAGCCCCTGGCGGAAGAAATTAGACAGGGCACTCACGGAGAGTGCATACCTCCGCCAGCATGTAACATGTATGTGTTACGAGCTGGCTCGCCGCTCGCTGCTGGCTGCTGCTGACTGAATCACCTGCTGCTGACTCGCCGCTCGCTGGTGGCGGCTGCTGACTCGCCGCTCGCTGGTAGTTGTTGCTGACTCACTCGCCTGCTGCTGACTCGCCGCTCGCTGACTCGACGCGCTATCGATCGCGCCGCGCGGACTGGACACACACACACACACACAAACACACACGAGACCGATTACATTACCTCCGCTCCACACCGTGGCGGAGGTAATAAATAAATAAATAAATATACATATATATATATATATATATGCACATGACGTGACTATTGAAGTGCGCTATACTAGTTGTCTCCGTTTATTCTCTACTCGAAATTGTTTCTGCTCGCTCCTCTCGCACTCACTTCTGACGGTGGAGAACTCGGCGTACGAGATGACGAGTGTGTCGCCTTCGGAGAAGTAGGCGCGCAGGCGCACGTACAGCGCGTCGTCGCTAGTAAAGCCGTCGCTGGCCAGTTGACCGACCTCTCCCGGCTTGCCGCGCAGGCGCGCTAGCCGCGGCGCCTCGGAGTGCGACCCCTCACGAATCTCGAGGCTGTTCTCCTCGTGTTCTCCCGCTGCGATGAGACGACGAAAAGTTATCGGTTGCGTCGAGGTTGTGTTGAGCATGTTCTAGGAGATTTGCAGGAGAGTTCTACCCGTGTCCTATTCCCTTTAATAATCCGAACATGACGTGAGAATTTCGCGTAAATCTCGCTATGAGCAAGATTTGAAAGTGATCTAAAATCTCGAGCCTCTTTACAAGAAACGCTCCATTTATCGACGATGAGTGAATGAAATTTCACGAGCTCACGTGATCTCGTCGTGAACTGTTCGACCTTCATGTACAGCCGGTTGACGGGAGCGGGTCCCAGCCGCCTGACAATCCACAGACAGTCGAAATAGCCCGTCGTCCGCACTCCGTCCGCGTCCACCGGTCTCAGTATGTGACCTCCGTCGCCGCGAATGTTACCTTGACATGTCGCTGAAACCAAGAGGCGAAATTCGTTCGCAGCGCGTTGTCGTGACGACTCATGGTATTGCAGCTGTCACACGAGGCTTCAATAGACGACGTTATCAGGGGATATCAGAAATCGCCCAGCTTGCAAGCTCATGCATGCTTGCTAGGTTGCTAGCTTGCTAAGGGACGCACCGACACACACGGAAAAGCAGGCTGTTGCGTTCGTTAATGTCCTACAAGGATTCTTATCCATTTGTAGGATAATATAGTCGATCAGAATCTAATTAATATAAACGCATAGGAAATTGCAAAGTATTGCATATCGCAATAGGATTTAAATATAATAGACGGTATCTAAATACTGGAAATGTTCAGAAATATTTAGTATGAGATGAATAATTAACAAGCACATACCGGAGTAAGGTTCGGTTAACCAGGAATGGTCTGAAAAAAATTGGAAAACACATTTAACGGTGAACGCGCGCGCATCGTGCTCATTACAAGTATATTTAATTCAAGTATTATTTCAAGTATTATTAATTCAAGTATTTAATTCGAGTATATTTACTTCACCAAAAGTGTGTGTTTTCACTGGTATAGCTGACATGCTTCCCCGTAGCCGACAAGACAATCTTATAGCAAGTCTATGTGCTTCGTCACATCTGATACAACGCAGGGTGTGTATAGTCTTATGTTCGCTGACAACCCAGTTACTGCTACATATTAACAATATCAAATAATACGTGAACGGACTTCCGCTACTGAATCTACGGCTACCTGAGCTCATGTAATATGTTGCGCTGTATCCGACGAAATCCGGCACGAGGCTGTTTAAATATACGAGCTCTATTTCCGATCGAACAGACTGTATTGGTGGGGGTCGGAAGTCAACCCCGGTATATGTGTATCTTAAGACCCTTTTGTTGCCCACACCATCGTATATCTGCAACAAAAGCACGAATGAATAAGTTTCGTATGCTTTCGATGAACACGAAGCTGCAGTAAAGACACTAGGTAACTTTTGTCAGGATTTGGGAGAAGCTAGCGAGTTGACAACGAATGCACAGCGTGTTGCCAGCGCGCTGCGCGTATACAGGGCGCATACAGAGCGTATACAGGGCGCACATGTTAAAAAATCCAACGAATGCACAGCGTGTTTCTAGTGCACAGAACGAATGGTCCGCGCATGCACCGTGCATTCAACGCACAGCCAGCGAACGCTCAGGTCAGCGAACGAACAGGTCAGGGATATGGTGTTGTGAAGCACCCTCCACCCATAGGACATTGAGTGATACTTGGTCCCAGAGGCAAGATGCCGCAGAGTGAGGGCAAGCTTCAGGCCAGGGGCGAGGGCCTCTCTGTAGGTTGTATTCTGCTTGGTGATACTCGGACCCATTCTGGTTAGCAGCTCGTCAAGCATATCGGGGGGCATCCGCATGAAGTTCTTGAAGGCTGCCTGGTCTTCGTTACGGAGTTCAACAAGTAGCTGGTCATACAGGCCAAACTGTCGTCGCCTACCGATCCACGGTCGGACCCAGAACCTCCGTTGACCTCTTCTCTTGCTCCTTCTCCTGATGACATGGACTTGGTGAAGTGCCAGTTCCGTGAGGTTCTGCTGATGTTGGAGAACCGCGATTTCGTATTGTAGTCGGAGCCTGTCGCAATTTTCCATCTTCTGAGGTGGTTCTTCTAGACACGATCAGCAGGAACTTCTGTCATCACCCATGAGGGTCGGAGGAGAAGTGATGATGAAGAGGTGTGGGCGGTACCCGTTTATATACCCATGGCTACACGCTGCGTACACGCTAGCAACACGCTAGAAGAACGCTGGGCGCGCTACAGATTCGTTCAGCACTCGTTCAGCACGCCCATATTCGCTGCATGTTCGCTGGACATGCGTTAGAAGCACGCTAGGTGTGCGCTAGGTGTTCGTTACACCTCAGCCGACGAACATACAACGAATACCCATCGTGTGCTCCGCGTGTGTCTGGCGTTGGTCCAGCGCGCTCTGCGCGTGTCTGGCGTCTTTCTGGCGTGTACATTCATGCGTCGAGCTCCGCGCACATTTTTGTGCATGCTCAAAAATTCCGACGCACACAGCGAATGACAACGAATGCATAGCGTTGGTCCAGCGCGCTCGACGAACGAGTAACGAATGCTGACGCACATCCAGCGAAAGACAACGCACTGGCCAAAATTGCTACTTTTTTAGTGCGCGGGCCGTGCGTCGTGTATGTGTGACTGGGCCATATTAGGACACTTACATGTTTTATTTGTTAAAATTCTGAATTTTTTTTGCATGTTGATCTTTTAAACTTTCCGAAACTTGAGCTGGCGAGCCCGAAGATTATTCCTCAACTCAAAAATATATACCTGGCCATAGACGCCGTCTTCCTGTCGGTTTGTTTAGGAGCTTTAGTTGACTTAGAGGCTTCCGCTATTTATTAAGAGCTTGTTTCCCTGCTTTGCGTTAAGAAATGACATTTTTTCTGATTTTTTCTTCGCAATACCTTGTAATAGAGTGTACTATGCTGCATTGTACACGTACGATGGATGCCCTATATAGACGTTTAAAATGCATAAGTCGTTAGTTGTATGAAAAATGAGCTGCATCATGTCTTCATGTCGCAGGCAAAAGATTCGTTTAAAGTTTACATCTGTTACATATCTACTTTGCTATCTTGCATATCGATATATCTACGGTCCTCCAGCAGTAATAGAACGTATGTTGTGTGTGCACTAAAGCTTTCTAAATAATTGAATAAATTTTGCTCCTTTGGGCCTACTGCCTATGAACACAACCTACTGACGAATTCCATTCTTCCCTAGTGTATCTATACATATATACCCCAGTATATATATATATATATATTGTTCATTTATTATTCATATATATATATATCCGAGGTTATATATAGAGAAGTGCTTTTATCAACGCAGAGTGCCGTCTGGAGCACCTGATTACTGCCCACCAAAGCCACCGCTTGCGAAGGATGTGCGTCTGGCGAGATCAATCACTTCCGCGTCTCGTAGCGACACCTCGTGGCGGCAGCGGCAACACGAGAAGGAGACGTGCGTTACGTACGCCGAGCGATCGCAAACAAGTTAGAAGCAGTTAAGCGCCTCCCTGCCGATGAGCTGACAGATGCGATCATGTATCTTCGCGCCTCACAAACCGATTTTTCACGAAAGAATTTTCCGACGCAAGCCATTTACGCGCCGTGAGATCGGATTTGTCGGAGCTGATACGCGCTGTCGCTACATATAAGTATACTATTATAGTCCGATAATAACTATAAGGGGCTTCGTGATCAGCGGTGCATCTGCTCGCCATCTAATTGCGTTCTAGGCGCAAATAGTTAGCGAAGATAAAACAGTGCTATTCTAGGCTGTCGCTACTGCTGCCGCTGCGGGGGTTCATGTTCGATATGACAGGCAAAACGCAGCGACGCGAACTCTCTCCGAACGAGCGACAACGATTGTACAATGCAACAGGATACGGATCGGTTAGGTAAATTAACCGCGCCTACGCTGTCGCCTTTGACCGCATAGCACCATGTAGCGTTTCTCCTTACTCAGATGATTGCGACTATACTGCCATGCGTGTTAAACGTCGAATCTCTTTGTCATCGAAGAAGGCAAGAAATTCAACCCGTATACGAATTACTATAATATAGCCCTATCAAACTCCCTCCATAGCCAAATCACAACTTGAATTCAGGAATGAAACATCTGAGATAGTAGATATGCTCAACGGAAGCAACTACGGGAAAGACGTCGGGGGGTCGTGCAACAGTTAATTTTAGCCGTAGGTGAATAGTAGGTAGTTGGTAGTTGGTAGTAGGTAGGTGAGTAGGTAGGGTTCGCAACCAGGTTGGTTTATTATTATATAGCATTCTGGCATATCGCAGGTAAACGCAATAGCAGCTGCTGTTGTCACTGTGAATATGCCACGTATGAAAGGTGCGCGGCCAGCAATTATATTCTAATACACGGGCCCTGCCTCGCGCAAGCCGCTAATCACGATCACGATCAATGTTGCATGCGAACGAGTAATAACAAGGCTTACGAGAGCGGATGCACCCCCCAACACATACACTAACGCACGCGCCCCCAACACATACACTAACGCACGCGCCCCCAACACATACACTAACGCACGCACCCCCAACACATACACTAACGCACGCATTCCCAACACATACACTAACGCACGCACCCCCAACACATACACTAACGCACGCGCCCCCAACACATACACTAACGCCCGCACCCCCAACACATACACTAACGCACCCCCCCCAACACATACACTAACGCACACCCCCAACACATACACTAACGCACGCGCCCCAACACATACACTAACGGCACGCGCCCCCAACACATACACTAACGCCACGCCCCCCCCCCAACACATACACTAACGGCAGCGCGCCCCCAACACATACACTAACGCACGCACCCCCCAACCAACCATACACTAACGCACGCCACCCCCAACACATACACTAACGCACGCATCCCCAACACATACAACTAACGCAACGCACCCCAACACATACACTAACGCACGCGCCCCAACACATACACTAACGCAGCATCCCCAACACATACACAACGCACGCACCCAACACATACACTAACGCACGCGCACCCAACACATGCACTAACGGCACGCACCGCACCAACACATACACTAAGCACGGCGCCCGCCGAAACACATACACGCCCCCCCCACCACACACACCACACTCACTCCGTCGTCCGAAATCGCTCGCTCCCTCCCTCCTTCCCTCCCTCCTTCCCTCCCTCCCTCCCTCCCTCCCTCCCTCATTCACTCACTCACTCACTCACTCACTCACTCACTCACTCACTCGCTCGCTCGCTCGCCGCTCGCTCACTCACTCACTCACTCACTCACTCACTCACTCACTCACACACACACACACACACACACACACACACACACACACACACACACACACACATCCGACGCATAGAAATCAATCATGCACGGCGAAATATGAGGCCACTGCGCACGCAGCCGCTAGCTACGTAGTGCTTCTCCTGGCGCCCGCTAGGATCATATATCTGTCGTCGTCGTCGTCGTCGCGCGCGTCTTAATCCGAGCCGAGCTCGCGCGGCGCGCATCTTCTGCTAATATTCCGCCATGGCAGCGTCACGCTGCCGCCGTGCGCTGCTGCTGTTCCTGCAGATGACCGCTGTGCTGGCGACGATAGGTGTCCGCCCGTCCGCCGCCGCCGCCGCCGCCGCGTGCGCTAGCGACGAGAAGACGTGCGACGATGGTCAGTGCGTGCGCGACTGGCAGAGCTGTCCGAACGCGTGCAGCGGCGGCTACGTGCAGTGTCCGGACAACGCGTGCGCGCCGACGGGAGCCGACTGCGACTGGTCGACGTACGCGTGCCAGCGCGACGAGCTGCGCTGCGTCAACCGCTGGCGCGACCGGCCGTGCATCCCGCTCGTGTACGCCTGCGATGGCATGCCTGACTGCGACTCGGGCGTCGACGAGATCGGCTGCGCGTCGTCGCGTAACGCGAGCGCCGACGTCGGCGACAGCAGCGCGCACAACGCGTCGCTCGCGCCCCCGAGCGACGCGACGGATGTCATCGACGCGGCGACGTCGGCGGCAGATGACGAACTCGGACCCGGATTGGAAATCGTGCACGCCGGAGAGCGATCGGACACGGAATCGAACGGAACGGTTTCCGGGCAGCAGCAGACGCAAGACACCAAAGCCGGGTTGAATCGGGAGAGGCAGCTAGAAGCCAAAGGTACCTCGTCCGGCGAGACGTCGGAGAGCGTCGCTCCGACGGCAGACAACGCGAGGAAGACTAGCAAGGGGAAACAACTGCGCAGCTCGACGGTGTGGATTATAATCGGCACGTCAGTGCTGCTAGTTGTGCTAGCCGTCTGCCTCTTCAGTATCTACGTGTGGTACTCGGGCAGGGCGCAGCGCTACAGGGGACAAAATTCGTCGGATATGCGTTCGTACGTAACGTAGCCGTCTCATCGCAGACCCCATGTCTCACCATAAACCCTATGTCTCATCACAGACCCCATGTGTCATCGCAGACCCCATGTCTCACCATAAACCCTATGTCTCATCACAGACCCCATGTGTCATCACAGACCCCATGTCTCACCATAAACCCCATGTCTCATCATAGACCCCATGACTCACCATAGACCCCATGTCTCATTGCAGACCCCATGTCTCGTCATAGACCCCATGACTCACCATAGACCCCATGTCTCATTGCAGACCCCTTGTTTCGTCATATACCCCATGCCTCATCATAGGCTACGTGGCTCACCATAGACCCTATGCCTCATCATAGACCCCATGACTCATCATAGACCCCATGTCTCATCGCAGACCCTATGCCTCATCATAGACCCTATGTCTCATCATAGACCCCATGTCTCATCGCAGACCCTATGTCTCATCACAGACCTCTTGTTTCATCATAGACCTCATGTCTTATCATAGACCCCATGTCTTTCCATAGACCCTATATTTCATCATAGACCCCATGTCTCATTACAGACCCCATGCCTCATCATAGGCTACGTGGCTCACCATAGACCCTATGTCTCATCATAGACCCCATGTCTCATTACAGACCCCATGCCTCATCATAGGCTACGTGGCTCACCATAGACCCTATGTCTCATCATAGACCCTATGTCTCATCGCAGACCCTATGTCTCATCGCAGACCCTATGTCTCATCACATACCCCTTGTTTCATCATAGACCCCATGACTCATCATAGACCCCATGACTCACCATAGACCCCATGACTCATCATAGACCCCATGTCTCACCATAGACCCCATGTCTCACCATAGACCCCATGACTCATCATAGACCCCATGACTCACCATAGACCCCATGACTCATCATAGACCCCATGACTCATCATAGACCCCATGTCTCACCATAGACCCCATGACTCATCATAGACCCCATGACTCACCATAGACCCCATGACTCATCATAGATCCCATGACTCACCATAGGCTACGTGGCTCACCATAGACCCTATGTCTCATCATAGACCCCTTGTTTTATCATAGACCCCATGTCTCATCATAGGCTACGTGGCTCACCATAGACCCTATGTCTCATCATAGACCCCATGACTCACCATAGGCTACGTGGCTCACCATAGACCCTATGTCTCATCATAGACCCCATATTTCATCATAGACCCCATGTCTCATTACAGACCAAATGTCTCATAATAGACTTCATGTAACAACATGTACCCAAGAAATCATCGCAGAAACCATGTTTCATATTGCAAACCCCATGTGTTATTGCACCATGTCTCGTCGCAAAAGCTATGTCTCACTCATAGAAATAATATGTAGATACATGGTCTCACTATACACTATATGTCTCATCGCAAAACCCATACCTCAAACAGTACATGGTGTTATATACGTTTGTGCAAGAGTTTCGTGAACCTTTCCTCGGTATTGCTCGTTGCGACGGACGTGTGAAACATTCAGGGAAACGGTCGAATGAAACGCAACGAAGCTGAAACTGTGTAATACAATCATATAGATAATTTTTCCACGTGTTTGCTCACCGGCTCATAAATCACTAGGTTTTGCAGGAAATCTGCGGCTTTCTTCATCGTGTCACATCTAGGATCATTATCACACTGTACTGAGCCGCTTGTCTCCGCGTGGGAAGGTGTGTCAAGGCATAAATCCCCTTGCTGCTTGTTATATATTTCCCCTCCACTGATGAATCGCATGATTATTTAAACACCATAGATAACGACTGTTTACCGTGAGAGTCGTAGCACAATAATTAATTGCCTAGTGCCTCTGTGTTGTCGTTCTATGTTGTAATAACATCTGTGATTAAGAGTCAACTGTAATGATTACGTCGTTGTTTGTTGGACTAATTTTGCAAAAAAATAGCGCTATTGTTTACCGTCCGTAATATATATAGGCTGGGTTAATTCTACAAGGAATGAATAAAAACAAATTTGTTTATATTCACTCCTGCTTCTACGAATAGTATTCAACTGCACACAATTTAATAGACGTGCTACGGTGCAGCTGATCTGCAGGCCGCCAGAAGCTACCGGAATGTATAGGAATCGAATTTCACTGCACATATTTTAAATTTAGATGACGCATGCTACATTAGAATAAACCATGCGAGGCGAGGGATAGGTTGTATCACTGGAATCTATCCTGGCCACGCTTGACAGTTCTATAATCTTAAGATTGATGCGCCGTGAGATTAAACCAAACCATTAAATTGACTACGTCACGAATTTTCTATGGTAAAATTTGTAAAATTTTTGTTGCCATTTTTTTACATTAAAAGTAAGAACTAACGGGACTATTGTCAAATTCTTACCTAATAAGATTGTTTCTCAACTAATTAAAAATCCAAAAAACCTGGACGATTTGATATAGTGTTCCTAACATTAATTGCTTGCTATGGCTATGTATGAGTCACGAGTGTATGTTCACATCAAACAATATAGTAAAATAAGAAGTATAATGCAGCAATTTAACCATAAAAAGTGAACTGAATTACTTATATTTTGTGAAAAGATGATTTTTTTTAATTATTTACGGTGACGTAATCACTTTAAGTGAGACATAACATAATTGCTATGTTGACGGTATATGCATGTGCAGACACAGGTACATGGGCTCGTAACCTCACGAATTCAAGTACGAACTAATGCACGCAAAGACGATTGGGCAATGTGTACAGGAGTAAAGCAGGCAGAAAATATAGAAGAAGGCAGTCTGTCCTTAAAATAGCAGCAACTGTCACAGGCCATTTTGTGCATGAACTGAACTATGAGACACGAGGGAATTCGTCGCTATAAGTAGACACAAGTACACGTAACTGACTTGGCGTTACAGAATGCTCTGGAAGATTTTTGGAAAAATCAACATGACATGTAGATGATGGCATTATCAGTAAGTACGACATCTGATTTGCACAGTAGCAAGTAGAAGCTTTTAAAATGGGTTCATTTTGATGACCGGAATGTATAACTAACTAGTAGCGAAATTTTAATATTACCCATGACTCACAATGGCGAGATTGGAGTAGAGTAGAGCAGAGTAGAGTAGAGTAGAGTAGAGTAGAGTAGAGTAGAGTAGAGTAGAGTAGAGTAGAGTAGAGTAGAGTAGAGTAGAGTAGAGTAGAGTAGAGTAGAGCTAGAACGTAGAGTGAGGTAACTAGCAGTAGAGTAGAGTAGAGTAGAAGTAGAGTAGAGGTAAGTAGAGTAAGATATGAGTAAGTCAGAGAGATAGAGTAAGGCTAGATAGAGTAGAGTAGAGTAGAAGGTAAGAGTAGGGGCACACGTCACCTATCTTCTTGGTCCCCCGATGAGACATAAGGCCATAGAGAGCGAGAGAGAGGAAGAGGAGAGAGAGAGAGAGAGAAGAGAGAAGAGGAGAGGAGAAGATAGAGACGAGAAGAGAGGAGAGAAGAAGAGAGAGGAATAGAGAGAGAGAGGATAGAGAGAGAGAGAAAGCGAGAGAGAGAGAGAGACAGAGAGAAGAGGAGAGAAGAGAGAGAGAGAAGAGAGAAGTAGAGTAGATTAGAGTAGAGTAGAGTTGTGCAGGGTAGAGAATTCACATGTAGTGCCTTTCGTGCTCTATGAATGCTAACCGATATGCGGCCGTGCAGGTCGTGAGAGGTAAGACAGCTCATAAACAACAGCGTGCGTGCTAGCCTTCAATTAGCTACTGATATATACGCAAGCTCAGCATGTGTCCTCAGCTGTCTAAGAGCTTCTTTCCGCGTGTGCTGTTACGTGCCTACGTGCAAACAATACAGAAGGCAATAGGCATTACGACGGCCCACGCGTACGCGCCCCCCCCCACACACACAGAACACAAACCACACACACATCCACACACACACACACACACACATACACCACACCACTCTCACACACTGCCACTATTATACCACACACCCACACACACCACCAACACACACATACACACAACATACACAGACACACTGCTCACACACGCACACATACACACGCACAGCACCAACACACACACACAGACACACACACAAACCCCCGGGACACGACGCATCAACACGCACATACACACACACCACACGGCACACCACACACACACGCCGACAGAGATAGAGCACTTACGTGCAACGCCTGAATGAGGCGATATATGGAAAATATCGGAAGACTAGCTGCAGCAGCCCGTTATGATTTGGTGTTGCTGATCACGTGACGAGCGCTGATTGCATGTTTTCCAGTTCGATCGGAAGCTTGGTGACTCAATCGTGGCCGGCTGTCTCCGGCCGGATCGGTATCTCAGAAACCTCTGAAAACGCGGGATATACACGCGTGCAGGAATAACGCCGCTACGGGGCGCCATGCAAAAGGAACAGCGGCTCATATTTGTCTGACAAAACTCAATCTGATCTCACAAAACTTCAATATTGTAACACAAAACTCAATTCTGTCAATCTGTCACCGACAAAACTCAATTTTGTAAACCCAAAACTCATTCTGTAATCCGGTTCACAAAACTCAATTTGGTGAACCAGAAACTCAATTCTGTCAATCCTGTTCCTACAAACTCAATTCTTGCGAAACCGGTTCCACAAAATCCAAATTGTAAAACAAAACTCAATTCTGTTGAACCGGTTCCACAAAACTCAATGTGTAAACACAAACTCACATTCTGCTGAACCGTTCCACAAAATCGATTTTGTTTGCCCAATATGGCCACACGCAGTAAGAACGGGCTACCAGTGGTTTCTTCTGACCAAGTGTAGCGGCTTGGGCTTACATGCGGGTGTGCCATATTTGGGCAACAAAATCGAGTTTTGTGTGGAACCGGTTCGACAGAATTGAGGGCCCTGTCCTGCATGCGCGCCCCGTTATGCGCCCGTAGTCCCACGAAAACTGCCGATGTTGAGCGACGAGGAACTCAGATTCTGGTCAATCCTGCTACCACCAAACTCAATTTTGTAAACACAAAACTCAATTCTCGAAGCCGTTCCGACAAAACGGGGGGGGGGGGGGGGGGGGGGGGTCGGGGGTATTTTGTTGCCACAAATATGTGCACACGCATGTAAGAAGGGCTACGATTGTGTTCTTCTGACAATGTAGCCCTTCTACTGCGTGTGCCATATTTGGCAACAAAATCGAATTGAGCCCGTCCTGCATGCGCGCCGTACGCCATGACAGGACAGGGCTCAACATAATTTGTGCCCAAATGGCACACGCATGTAAGAAGGGCTACTTGGTCAGTAAAAAGACAATGGTAGCCCTTCTTACATGCGTGTGCCATTTTGGGCAACAAAAATCGAGTTTTGGGTGAATCCGGTTCGACAGATGAGTTTTGTAGTTTACAAAATGATTTTGGGAAGCGTTGACAGACATTGGTTTTGTGTTTACAAAATGAGTTTGTGCGAACCGGTTTGAACAGAATGAGTTTTGCGTGTTTACAAAATTGGTTTGTGCGAACCCGGTTTGACAGATTGAGTTTTGTGTTCACAAATTGATTTTGTGGATCAAGGCATGACAAATTGAAGTTTGTGTTCACACAACTCATTTTTGTCAAGTTTATGACACCCCAAAAATGCCTGTCCTGCATGCGCCCGTACATGCTGCTGCGCGTTTCATTTAGTTGCCAGAGTCGAACATTCTAGAATCGTCCCACCGCGGTAAAATCCCAAGCCAATAGACAACTACGCGTGCGAGGCAGATCGCGCGTACTGCCATGCACGGCAGAGCGCGATAGTATACACGGACCGCACGCCACACACACACCAACACACACCACACACACACACACACACACACACACTACTACACACACCACACAACACCCACAAACCACACACACACACACACCACAAGCGCGCGCGTCGCGCCGCACCACGCAGATTGAACACGACAAGCATACGACCGGTGAAAATAACCCCTTAAGCCCTACGACGTAGTCAAATAACACCGAGTGGAATAACCGTATCGCGTCATACCGATGCGCATACGTCCCGATGTCTTCTGCTTGCTTCTGTATTGTCAAGTAACGGACAGCGTGGTCCTCCGCTGGGCAAGCCGTATTATCAACGGCTCGCTGGAGTTGTCCGCACTGCGTTGCATAAGCGCCATCGTTCCAGCCGCACTCCGATTTAAACAGAAAGAACGAGCCACACTGGCAAGGTACGTTATACCGAGTGGCGAATATAAGATCACGCTCGACCTGAAATATTACTTAGATGAAAAAAATGCGAAAACGAGCGGTGGTCAAGGCGCCACTGAAGCGATGTCAAATTGGCGTGTTAAACGAGCGAATATATAGCGCACATGGCCAACTCAACGCATGTCGTGCGTTACATCGGCTACCCACAAAAAGGAAACATATTCACAAGTCACATTCACAATAAGTGCGTCACACTGGCGATTAGCGGGCGTGCAAAACCCGTTTTGCAGCCCCCTCGAAAAAACTGAGCTTTTTCACAGTGTGAACGCAATTAGCTCACAAATCGCGCTCAAAATAGGCGCTGCAAGAGACGACTTCCGACTGCACAATTTGGAATCAGCGCGGCTTATTTGCACGCCGCGGCGTGATATTTGCGACGCAGGAGATTAGCGAGATATTCCGCCTGTGTGAACAACGACACAATTAGTTCTACTAATTATCTCGCTATTAGCGGGCGAAGCAGCGCCGCGTTTTTCTTGTGTTGTGAAAGCCGCCTAAAGAGTAGGGCATCTATGTGGTACGTGTGTGTGCGTTGGGGCATCTTCTACCACGGACTTAGTTTTGTTAGTCATGCGAATGTGACTCAAACAATCGTGAACAGAAGACGCGGACTCTCTTAATATAATCGATAATTTATTAAGCCATTTGTTTATATATGTTTTTTATTTATTATATTTTCATATTTTCGACAGATTTTGACTATTATTTGACTAATATATGGAACAGTCGCCGTGTGTGAATACGGTGCAATTACGGGTCAGTGGAATGGACAAAAAAATAAATATATATACGCGAACGCCTCACACTGATAGCGTCTAGTATACAACAGTTATTGACACCCTGATTCGGCCTCGTAGTTTCGTTGACATGTGTGTGTGTGTGTGTGTGTGTGTGTGTGTGTGTGTGTGTGTGTGTGTGTGTGTGTGTGTGTGTGTGCGTGTGTGTGTGTGGAGTGGGGGAGAATCCGTGCAAGGATATTAATTTTGTACATGTGAACGGTGTTCTTACGTTCCAACCTACCATCGCTATACTAAATGGCTAGTCATCGGCTGGTCACACACAGTTTCCTCAAACGCATAATTAACTACTACCAAACGACTCCACAAGATACAACTTCAATGTACAAGGAAATACTCGCTAGATGTGTTATTCTAGGTTACGACCTGATATCATAAACCGTGCGGTGTGGGAAAGTAATTATTCCGCATTGTTCAAATTAACTATTTCTAGCACCATTTGCCGCATAAACATTTCCTAACCTTGCAGTTACACTGTGTTGCAAGTTGCATCCGTCACTAACTCACGAGTCATGTTCAATTGTCTTATTGTTACAGACCGACAGCCCAACACAACTAGCGCATATGTTGTCAGAAACATCGTATAAGGTTAGGACTAATGTTAGGACTAATGTTAGGACTAATGTTAGGACTAATGTTAGGACTAATGTTAAGACTAATGTTAGGACTAATGTTAGGACTAATGTTAGGACTAATGTTAGGACTAATGTTAGGACTAATCTTAAGACTAATTCTACTCGTGAAAACAGGCCCTAGCTCGCGATAACCTCGTACATCTGAGATAGTAACGTAATTGACTTGTGGCTGTAATAACGATGCGGTGACGCTCTTCGTAAACACCGACGCGGACGTCGATCGACAACCGAATGCATTTACCTGCACGCATCCTGATGATTACAGGTCGGTAGCTGCAGGGCTTCTATGTGAAGCTGTAGCTCGCAGTCGTCGCAGGCTTCTACGATGAAGACGCAGTTAACGTCGTGTTGAGGGCTGTGAGGGTCCGTATCGTGTACGATGTAGCCGCTGCCGTTCGCCTCCACCTCACCAACCTCTCCATCAGGGCTGCATATCTCTACACGTAGCAGTAATGCGGCCGTCAACGCGACGCGTCCGTCTCCCCTTCTCTCTCTCTCTCGCTCTCTCTCTCTCCTCGCTCCCTCCCTCCTTGTCTTTCCCCTTCACTCTCCCCCCTTCCTCCACTCTCTCTTCCTATCTTTCTCGCCTTTAGCACACACTCTCTCTTTCTCTCTCTCTCCCTCCCTCCCCCTCTCCTTATCTCTCTCTCTCTCTCTCTATCTATCTCTCTCTCCGCGTGGTCGCTGCGACACAACTATAATAATATCGTTGCAAGACCGGCAAGAAATGCCCAACGGACCGTTGATAGAAATATTTCAGTCGTAACATTAGCGATAGGTCGTAACTTGTCTGATGTCTGATAAACTGATGTCTCTGATAACGCCACCGGGATTCGATCCTGTAATTCAATTCTTGGGCGGGGAGAGAGACGAGAAGGATTTTTATGTGATGTGAAATCCATACACGACCTCGTGTGCGAGACAGTGCACTCACACACGCATGCACACACGTACCTCCATACACACCCCCCCCACACACACACACAGGCGCGCGCACGTACGCACGCACGAACGCACACACAGGCGTGATATATAATACATGTTTCTTTCTATGTAATTTTGTGCGTTTGTTGCATTGATTACGTTAGCGCGTGCATAAACCTCGCGGCTCGGAAACCGCGTCCACACAAATACAGACGTCAGGATTTGCACGTGGCCATGCATGCATCTACGTACCGTATCGTACCAGTGATCCTACAATTCCGGAGAAATAAATTATACTCTCGGTTGCGAAAAACGCATCGCGAAGTCGTTTTCGCTTACCATTCTCGGCGATGGGCAGAACTGGCGTCAGACACGTTGCCAGGACGACGATGACCGTTGCCAGCCGATGCGGCATTGCTGAAAGTCGTTGATGCTGGGTGCGTAACAGATGTACAGGCGTCATAGACGCTAAGAACGATGGTCGACGACACAACCAGTTGAATGTACGATATTTACTACACATATATAACTACACCAACGTTCACCTGCACGTAGATCTAACTACAGTGAACGGTAACCTCTGTTTACAGTATAGCACTGTTTGCATAAGACACTTTCAGGTCATAGTCGACACGCGCAAAACGAGCCTCGTCATCTTTTAATTTCCGATAACTAAGATCCGTGTGCCGTGTTTGCGTTCTTTACGATGTAGATGAAATATTATTCCGTACCTTCGATTGTTTATTATATATTGTCTAGTATATTGATTCGTTTTTTAATGCTGCAGTTATCTATGAGGTCGGGCATGCCGAGGTTCAACGATTGACGGCAAATATTTACCAGTGCAACGGATAAAGGTTGTATGGTCGCATGATGCAAACTGTACTGGTGTCTTTATCTGCATATGTGACTATAAAATTATATTACAACGGACGTATACACGCGTGTATACATAAACACCATAGCCGGGGGAGGGACGTAAGAATATCAAATGTATTACACAACGGAGCCATCGTAAAACATTAAACTTTACATTATCTAATGCTCCATAAATATAACGTTAATAAACGCAAGGAGAATATGTTGACGAACTCAGAAGGACCGAGTGTTTACAAATTCACTAGACGCGCTTATATTCTCCTCGCTTAGAATATTGCATTTTCATAGTAACACTTGTGTATAATAACCACTATTGCCGCTCTAATGGCATTGTAAACTGTCACTCGAAACACATTAGTACACATTAGTACATTTACTACTTACCTAGAAAACGGTCGAAAAAAAAAATCTGGTTCCCCTTTGATTCTTGTAAATTATTCCGTTTATTTACTTTTAATGTCATGTCACTATTGCCTAAATCTAGTGTTTGCGTCGTCACTTTGACTGTACGTCACTAATATGTATGCACAATGTTCACCATCATAACCATGTTTAAAAAATGCTCAAATTCGTTGATAGGTTCTCGCTTAATGGAAACCTTTCGTGTTGTTTTCATGCTGCTAACATACTTAGAAACGTATACGTAGAATGTTTAAACGAAGTTATTCGATTTTTACGTAATTATATAATGAAATACTCTTGCGAATACGTACGTGCACGACTTGATAATGGCGTCATATAACAAAATTGTTTTCATGTCGCAGTGGCGGCGCTACTATCCAACGCTGTCTCAGTAAGTGACATAGAAATTACTGAGCTGTATATAATAACATACTTGTGTTACTATATGTGTGTAATAACATAATTGGATATTTTTAATAAGATAAATATGTGTCACAGATCCCTGTAATTATTTTATTTAAGACTGACTCCATATGTCTTTTACCAAATTTCCTTTTGGTTTACGAGGCATCCAGGGACGTTTAACGTCTACGTAGGTTTTTCTGCGATATTGGACATTGGACCAAAGTCTTGTATCGACCTTTTCACGGCAAAATGAGCGCCCATGATTATGAGGACTATGAAAAGGCTTGCAAGAACTACGATGAATTCAGGTAAAATGGGTGCACGTAAAGCTATCACCCCTTTCTCTTATTCTGTGAGGGATGAACCCGACTGTATGTTGTGCTCATTAATTGCGTAGCTTCAGTCTGCAGTGCATCGCAAATATCGTGCTGCGAGTGATGCCATTAGGGTGGGGCGCCATTCGCCCACCCTCGCAAATCCCGTTAGTACTTGCCTTCATTCCTGTGCGAAATAGGCCGATGTGTGCCGAGGGGATGCTGTATCGATGCTATAAATCAGCCCGCGTCGTTAGGGGGTCGGCAGTTCTTGTATCATGTCTTGTGTTTCACTGGCTAGTCGTCAATAGTTATCCTCTTTGCACTTAATATTCTTATTCGCGTGATTACACGTCCGTTGTAATATAATTTTATAGTCACATATGCAGATAAAGATACCAGTACAGTTACAGGTTTATTTTATTCTGTACAAAGGATATATATATATACTAGCTGCGGGTACCCTCTGCGCTGGGTAAAATCGTGCTACTAATTCATAGTACTATAATAATGGGACAGAATAGGAACATTGGGTAAAAATCGACAATAACATTGCAGACAATATTAATATTTAGAAATGAGTGTAATAAGATAATAAGCATGGGAAAAACGAAAAAACTGTTACGTATGACATTTATATGACAGCACAACCGAACTTAGAGCTCCTGGGACATAATAGTAATATGGTGTAAATGACAAAAAGTTATTATAAGAGAATGTAGGAATGGGTTGGACTTTTCATTTGAAAGCCTCTTGATAAAGAATGTTTTAATTTTCGTCTTATTCTCTGGTGCAAATATGTAGAGATTCCTGGCGTCTCCAACTCTTGAGCTCCCCACGTACAGCTATCCATTGTGAGATCGTAGCATGAATAAAAGGAATATAGTATCAAGAGCTAATAATGACAAATTTGTCATTATTAGCTGCTCATAGTATAGATAGAGACACGCAACCATGCACATTGAAATGAAGAAATTTTCCTACTGAATCAGAAACTGCATAGCTTTCGAATGGTACAATGCATTGTGAGATCGTAGCATCTGAACTGAACCTCTGAGCTGAGTGAGTAGTACCTATGAACTGGTGAAACTGGTGCTGGTTGTGGTGTGTTTTAGTATTGGTTTCGGTTTCACAATACCAGCAGCCGGATGAGGTGAGGGAATCGATTTTTCTCTGTGTGGCAGCACTGTACAGTCAGTGCTGACATTGTGTGAAGATTCACGAATTGACGGGTTTTTCACGGATTTTTCGGTGAGTTTGACGGTTTGACAGGTTTTTTTTCATCTAGGAACACTCCCCGGGTATAAGAGATGGCCCTGTGAAAATTGCATCCAGATCGCTTGGGCGGTTTGGCCGCCTATAGGGAAGATACATACATACATACATACATACATACATACGAACTCAAATATATATTAGATATATATATATATTGATGTATCGTTAATAAATTTGTTATCATTTATTTATTTTATTTCCTCATACAGTTAGGAAATGTTTTGTCTTTGTGATAAATGGTGGAT